GTGGATTTTTATCATTATAGGGTGGTTGTGTACACACACTGCCAACACACATTTCAGTTCAAACAACTTGTAAAAGTGCATGTAGCATCCTGTGACCCCTTTAAGTTGTTGTAAAATGTAAGGAATTATTCTCTTGAACAAAATACTAACATAAGCTTTACCTACACAAACACAACATTCTGGAGTTGGGAATAGAGCGCATGCTAAGCTGTATTAAATTACACATTTTGACACCTCAAACAAACAAACATTATTAACATATCTCTCCTAACACAAAAACCAAAAAAGTATGTTTGCTCCTCACACTATAGACAAAACAGCTGTTGATGCGTTTGTAAATACGCCACTGCCAACAATGCCATGACCTTCTCTCCATTAAAATGATTAACAGCATGTGGTTAAACCCTGAGGTGCATCTTGATGAGCAGTTACACTAGTCACCCCAGTGACTGCCTGATGAGCCAGCGTCCCGAAGCCCTCGTGTGCGATACATGTTTGTTTAAAAGCATGATGACGCCAAGTAGTGCTAAAAGAGCAGAGCATGTGGGTTAAGCAGCCGGCTGAGGTCTAGAAGCAGACCTAGATCTGGTTTCTGGGGTCGTGTAGAGGAAATGGGAGGAGAGACGCAGGTCAGCTCTCTCTGCACCGCCGTGAGAAAGCTGTCTGCTAGAATGTCATGTTGAGTTTACGGTGTCCATCATTATTATTGTTAAATAAACTGCATTAGCAACCACTTTCAATAAAATGTTTAAAAGGTTCTGAAGAGCTTCATATTGTTTGACGGTAATTCATTTGATTTCACAATAGTAACAATAGCCAATATTTAAACTATTTATTATATTTTTCCCCTAGGTATAGTTTTGAAATATTTTTTTGTAAAGATGTTTTTTTGCACCCATTTTATTGAATTTAAAAAAAAAAAAAAAAAAAAAGGTCTAATGCGTGCTAGATGAGGAGTATGAGGACAGATGGCGATGCCATTTTTCCCTCTTGCTCTCCTCCATGAATTTGAGTAGCCCAGCAACATGTAAATGTGTTTCTTTATCTGAAGAATAAAGAAACGTCTGCTGACATCAGGGAGGAGACTGCGGAGTCTCCAGGCCAGGACCAGCAGACTGAAGGACAGCTTCATCCATCAGGCTGTCAGGAAGCTGAACTCCCTCCCGACCTTGCCCCCCCTCCCCTCTTTTGCCCCACGCACCACTGAACTCTGACGGACTCTCCCACTCCCCCCTCCCAAATACACACACACAGTCACTTTAATCAGTCTAAATAAGCTCTTTTTGCACTACAAATCATTATATCTGCACTGTTGTTTACTTCACTGGTTTGCACTCTATCTGCCATGTGCCGTGTGCTGCTTTATATATTTTTTTTAATATATTTTTTTACATTTTACCTTATTTGTATATTTGTATAGTTGTATTTTATACTTAATCTGTATATCTGTATTTATGTTCTACTGTTAGTGTTATCTGTATGCACCAAGGGTCTGAGAGTAACGCAATTTCAATTCTCTGTGTGTATGTGCTGTACATGTGGAAGAATTGACAATAAAGCAGACTTGACTTGAAAAGAATAGTAGGAGCAGCTGCTAGCTGCTGTTAGCCACCTGACGCAACACTGAGCAAAAGCTGAAAACTAGCCAAGAGAAAGTGGAGAAAACCGAGAACGACAGGCCCCTGACAGAACTTTCCATCTCGTACGGTGCTGCTAATTGCTGTGCTACGGTATGCTGTGTGCCGTGGTCTGATAAGGATCTCTGTGAAGACTGGATCAGTGAAACGTAGAGACAGTGAGGGGACTCATATCGCTTTCCATGTTAGAAATGTTCACAGTCTGTCTCAGTCTCTACAACGTGGCTGTATTGTAATGTATGTATTGTATTTTATATTACAGTCATTTAATAAATAATTCTAATATTCTGATTGAAAAGAATGTCTTGGTGGGCTGATAATTTATATATATATATATATATATATATACAGTGGGTACGGAAAGTATTCAGACCCCCTTAAATTTTTCACGTATGTATGTGTGTGTGTGTGTATATATGTGTGTGTATATATATGTATATTCTATTAGAAAGGCTTTTAGGTGGCTGAGAATATTGAATTGTATTTTATTTTAATATAATTTATATTTTATTGTATACAGTATCTTATCTTATGTTTATTATATTATATTTATTGTATTATATTTAGTGCTGTCAAACGATTAATCGTGATTAATTGCATCCAAACTAAAAGTTTTTGTTTACTCAATATGTGTGTGTACAGTTTTTGTGTATATATAAATACACACATACAGTATATTTTTGAAAATATTTACATGTATATATTTACATTCATACAATTTATATTATATGTAAATATATTTAATATATAAATGTAACATATTTTCTTATGTGCATGCATGTGTGTGTATTTATACGTAATAAATGTACACAGTACACACATTATGTAAACAAAAACTTTTATTTTGGATGCGATTAATCGTTTGACAGCACTTATTATATTATATTATACATTAATAAAAATTCTGACTTTCTTGGTGGACTGATAATATTGTTTTCTCTTTTACATTATTTATATAGTATTGTATATTTTATTATATGTATCATTTATTAAGAATACTGTAATTTATTGTATTATATATTTTGTGTTTTATCTTTTTGTTTAATATTGTTTTATATTTTATTATATGAATCATTAGTGAATTAAAAAAAAACAATATTCTGATTGAAATAAGGTTTTTTTTGGTTGGCTGTTCTTTTTGTAAGTGGGTGGATAAAGAGGCAGGTGTTAGGGTTCAGAGTGGGATGTTTATCTCAGTCTAAAGTGGCCTCACTGTCTTGGGCCTAATGTGAGCGTAAATCAGTCGGCAGTCTGAGAGATGGAGGCTCTGGCAAGCTCCCACCGTAGTTCACTCAAATTCAGAGCTCTTTACAGCCCAGTCTCTCTCTTCTCCTCAAACTTTGCTGTTCTTTATGGTCTTTAACTGCCTCTCTCAATCACTCACTGTGTGTTTGTGCTCGTGTCTTAGGCTGGCACTGAAACTGACACTGGGTGTGGCAAGGGGGAGAGATTTTGATACGTGATGGGGGTCATGCTAACGATTCCTGGTTATCAATATCACATTTTATGGTATAATAGTGACCAACTAAAAATTGCAAACTGTGAGAAATTAATGGATGATAAACTATGTCAGCCCAGTCTGCAGATGATGTCAGGTGGTTTTATATTGTGGTCATTGTTAGGATGTAACCACATCCTCTCTTCTTTTCTCTCCAGCACTGCGAAGTACAATGTCCTCACGTTCCTGCCTCGGTTCCTGTACTCTCAGTTCAGAAGAGCAGCAAACTCCTTTTTCCTGTTCATCGCACTTCTGCAGGTTAGACTTCAGTGTTAGTCTTCAACCTTTCTCCCCCAGGGCAGGAATACTGATGATAAGATGGAGAGATTAGGACTGTCAGCTCTCACGGTCGCAGATAAACATCTGTCTGCGGATTCCCTGACCCTCTGTGATCAGATACCGGGTTTCTTAAGTAGACAGGACTGATTGAACAGCAGGGTGGAATCAAAATCTGGTTCAGACCAATCAATTAAACCAAGTGTGAAAACCTAAAGTGATATAGTGCGTTACATTACAATGCGAGTTCCCAAATATGCTCTCCACAAGTGTGTGAACACAAACGTTACTTTGCTACACAAGGTCAGTTGCGTTGGGAGTTTTCAGATTTCAGTTCATAATGCCCGGTCTTGTCACTGCTGAGTATCTGCTTAAAGAGAATCTTACTGACTGTTGAAATATGAAAGGGATAGTTCACCCAAAAATGAAAATTATGTCATGAATTACTCATACTCATGTCGTTCCAAACCCGTAAGACCTTCGTTCATCTTTGGAACACAAATTAAGCTATTTTTGATGAAATTCGACAGCTTTCTGTCCCTGCATAGACAGCAATGCAACTAAAATGTTCCCAGGCCCAGAAAGGTATTAAGGATATTGTTAAAATGATCCATGTGATATCAGTGGTTCAACCATGATTTTACGAAGCTACGAGAATACATTTTGTGCACAAAGAAAACAAAAATAACGACTTATAAATAGCACATCCATTTAAAGGTAAGTAGATTGCTCCTTGAGTACTGAAGTTTCAAAGGTTTGGAGTCTTTTGAAAGAAATTAATGCTTTTTATTCCAAGGACCGTTAAATTGATAAAAATGGGCAGTGAAGACATTACATAAGATTTCTATTTTCAATAAATGCTGTCCTTTTGAACTTTCTATTTATCAAAGAATCCTGAAAAATGTATGTTTGTTTCCACAAAAAATGTTGAGCAGCACAACTGTTTTCAACGTTATTAATAATAAGAAATGTTTGTTGAGCAGCAAATCAGCATATTAGAATGATTTCTGAAGGATCATGTGACACTGAAGATTGAAGTAATGGCTGCTGAAAATTCAGCTTTGCATCACAGGAATAAATGACATTCAAAAATATTTAAAAATAGAAATAGTCAATTTAAAATATAATAATATTCCACAATATTTCTGTTTTTATCTTTTTGATCAAATAAATGCAGCCTTTGTGAGCATAATGGGCTTCTTTCAAAAACATTAAAAAATCTTACTGACTCCAAACTTTTGAACAGTTGTGTACTGTATATATTGCTTTTGAAACCTAAACAGATTTTGGCTGCACAGCTTCAGCATCTGTGTAATTACCAGACGCTGCAGTCACTGAGGGCTTCAGAGTTCTATAAACATACTGTTCTTTTAGAGACAGGAGGTATGATGAATCCACCATCGAGCAACCCGGCGTCACCCTGTGGATGCGCTGCACATTAAATTAGCTCCTCTGTTTTAATGTAGCTCAATCGATGACCAGGGGGAAGAGAGATGAAGAAAGAAGAGAAACTGCGAGTTACAAGAGTAAAACAGAGGAAGTCAGGTGGCTTCGAAGCACAGGTTCTGTGTATCTTTATTACGCCGCTGTCAATGCAGTGACTTTGAAATGCACAGGCATGTTGTGAATGAGAAAAACAGGAGGGATGAGTTTGCTGAGGCAACAAGGGGGCCAAGTCGACCATCTGGTTTTTATAGATGCTGTTTCATCAAAACTGCTCAAAAACTGCTTCTGGATATGCCATCATAATCAACTAAATATTTTGATCCTGACACCCAGGTTCCACGATGATCGACTGCTCTGGTCTTCTACGCCACTGTGGTTTGGTTGTGAGTGTACGCTCCTGTTTAAGTGAAACATAATGCAGAAGGGAAAGTGTTGGCATCAGGTTAAAAGGAATCCGTTTCGGGTTTCCTATTGTATGTCTTTGCATTGCTGGCCTCTGTCTGAAGCTGTCACAGCTCTGACACTTTATCTGATAGGGAAACGTTCCAAAGACGATCCACTTCTTGATATTATGTAGCTCTGTGAGTTTTGCCAGAATCAGGAGAGAAACTGTAGAAGTTTAATCAAGTTCTAATGGTGTGAATTATACAGTGGGTACGGAAAGTATTCAGACCCCCTTAAATTTTTCACTCTTTGTTATATTGCAGCCATTTGCTAAAATCATTTAAGTTAATTTTTTTTCCTCATTAATGTACACACAGCACCCCATATTGACAGAAAAACACAGAATTGTTGACATTTTTGCAGATTTATTAAAAAAGAAAAACTGAAATATCACATGGTCCTAAGTATTCAGACCCTTTGCTGTGACACTCATATATTTAACTCACATTTAAGGGGGTCTGAATACTTTCCGTACCCACTGTATATAAGCTTGAGGGCACTTTCCCAACTGCCTAACCAGCCTGTGGACCAGTCTGGAAATTTATGCTAGTCTAAGCTGATCTCTTCAGCAGGGTAGACAGATATGTCACATGGCGACTTCTAAACATCCATCAGAGTCGCTGCTGCTGACGTTCTGATGGTTATTGCCATTCCCTTAGGTTGCTTTCTTGACCTCCTGGTGATAAATACTAACACCACCAGGGATATACACCCTTAGGCTCTGTTATGATTGCTGGGAAACAAAATGGAGCAGTTTATCATTCCCTCCCTGAGTGTTTTTCATGAGGTCATACATTTAAATGCTCTGCTGGACTTTAATTAGTGTTTGTATTCATGCCCTGTAGGTGAAGAGGTTAGTGTGCCATTTGGATGTTCATGTTTTGATTTTGCTCTTCTGGAGGGAGGGATTAATGACTGACATTAATGTGGCCATTTTATTTATTTTTTCCTCTCAACAGCAAATCCCTGATGTGTCACCAACAGGGAGGTGGACAACACTGGTGCCGTTACTCTTCATCTTGGTGGTGGCAGCAGTGAAGGAGTTTATAGAAGACTTGGTGAGAGCATTCAATTATATTTGTGATTTGTTAAAGTAGCTTACCGAGGTAATTAGTGTTGCATGATAAACCGGTACTAAAAAGGTATCGTGATACCCTGCTTTTAAAAACGGTACGATTCCGCATTTTACCAGTACTGGTACTTTAAGAATGTGTTTTATTAAGAGCCATATTTCCTGAGTTGTGTCCACATGCGACAGCAGGACAGTGCTCTGCTTTCATTTCCTGCATGAACACTGGCCGTGCCACACTTTATATCCTCGCAGCGCAGGACTGTTTAAACATTTTAAGCAATATAAGAGTGGAAAAGAAACATGCATGAATTAGAAAATAAAGTGCAGGACTTGCTTGATGTTAAAATGAGTTAAGCGCAATAAATCTTGAAAAAGAACTTGTGCGGTACTCACACATCTGATGTGCATGCACTGAAAGCACATCGAGACAGCACGTGATCGCGAATTTAGATCTCTTTCACATGTTATTGCTCTTCAGTGGTGAAATACATGAATGCCCATTTTGTCTTATGATTTAAGTGAACGTAAAAAGATGAGAAAGAAAACGCGTGTATCAATAAATTGGATCCGCAGCTCTTAAAGTGACAGCAGGCTAATATTCCTGCTGCTGTCTGTATCTACAATGTTAATTAAACAACAAAAGATATATGTATAATATATAATAATAATAATAATAATAATAATAATATAAATCGTTATCGTGAAATAAAATTACTTGTATCATGAAATAAGATTTTGGTCATATTTCCCACCCCTAGCTTACGCCCTCAAATATAAGTCAAAAGAGTCTGATTTATTTTGTGACATGAACATTTTCACCGTCTGAGTTTGATAGGGCAGTTGGGGTCAGTAATAACCATCTAATTTGGCTTTATCCTTTTAGCTAACTTACCAATGTTGCAAAGATATAAATATGTAGGCTTGGTAGTTGCTCACCTTAGTCCTGTGCACTAGTGACACTAGCATGTGATTTTTATTACTTATTTATTTATTTTAAAGAGGGATGAAATGCTTGAAAAGCAGGGCAGGCACACACTGGGCAGGCACACACTTTGTTTTTTTTTAATTAATAGATAAAATAACTATAAGCTCCATGTGAATCATCTATTATTCAATTACCTTTTCTGTTGTATTATGTTTTTGGAGTAGTATTGGTTCAGTAGTAGTATCAAGAGATTTTAGTCAGGTATTGTTGTATCAAAGTCAAAATTTTGGTATCGTGACAACACTAGAGTAAATGCATGCGAAGTTTATGCAGATAGCTCACTTTTTCCAGTGTATCTTAATCACTTTATCATTGGCAGTTGGAATGATTTTTAATGAGTTGGTTAATGAAGGAGGACTGTGCTGCTCTTAGTGTCTGAAGTGCAGTCGTGCTTGCTGTTGGTTTTATTCTATCCTGCCCTTCACAGCTGTTACATTATCTGAGTCAGTTTTTAGACTGCATTCACGTTTACCTCTTTTACTCTTCCTGATAATTCAATCTCACTCTCTGGTGAATGGTGATCACGTACACGGCAGAATGCATCTCACTCCCATTAGCTGATGCTTTTTTCCTGACCTGAACTATCGTCTTATTTGCCATGTAAATGAATTCCAAGACCTTTTTACATAGAAATTTACATAGAGGAGTGAACACTGAGATAAAAGCACCAGCCCAAGTGGATCCACCATTGTGCTGTGACCCTGAAATTAGTGCCTGCTCTCCCGGATCCCTCTGGACATCCCGCTGGATGCTGTGGTCAGAATGACCGGCTCAACACTTTATATGGGTTTCTGATGCGTTATTCAGGTCTGAGAGGTCAAAACTAGCTCTGGACGTGAAGGTCATATGGTAAATTCTCCTCCCCGCTGTCATGTACCACTCTGCTGTGAGTGGAGGTCACATGACCTTTGCTTTCTTTTCCCTTCAAGTAAAAACAATTTCTAATTTTAGAGGCATCCCATAAGGCGAAAGAAAGGCTTCTCTTGTTACTTTGAGTGCTAGCTTTTGTTTGGTAGACTTGGATGGCTTGTTTTTGTATTTAAAGAAATAGTTCACCAGAAAAATAACTCATTTAATTAATTTTCTCAAACTCATGTTCCAAACCTGAATGATTGGCTTTCAAACACAAAAAAAGATACTTTGCTGTGACCAAGGGCTTTGAACTGTAGCTTTCTAATAGGACATCACAATCTCAAGACATGTGTGAATGGTGTTTTTCTTGAGCCGTCAAGCTTAAGGAGCTGTTTTTCATGAGCTGTCAAGGACTTTAAATATGGTGCTTTTTTCCTGCCCTTATTGTAAGAAAAAAAGCTTGATCATGCTGCTAAATATTTCTTAGTCATTTTGATTTATTTATTTGTTAATGTTTTTGAAAGAAGTGTCATTTACTTATCAAGGCTGCATTTATTTGATCAAAAATACAGTAAAATATAATATTGTGAAATTTCATCAATTTAAAATAACTTCTATTTCCTTATGTTTTAAATTGTAATTTATTCCTGTAAATACAGCTAAATTACCAGCAGCCATTCAATCTAATATCATTCTAATATGCTGTTAAATAACAACAACAACAAAAAAAACTATTTCAGGATTCTTTGATAAAGAGTTCAAAAGATTGATTGAAATAATAGAAATCTTTTATAACATTATGAATGTCTTTACTGTCACTTTTGATCATTTTAATGCATCTTTGCTGAATAAAATAATTAATTAATTTTTTTTTAAATCTTACTGATCCCAAACTTTTGAAGTTTTTGTTTGTTGCGTTCTTACTGTGTCTTCATATACGAGTTTCAAAAGAAGCCAGTAGGCTCAGTATAATCCATAACTCGTCATAATCCTGCATCTCTAACAACGACCGCGTCTAACAAAGAGGTGACGCGCCAGTGCTTTCCACACAGTGGCCTGCTTATCAGCTGCACCCCACTGTACTCCACTAATCCTTCTGGGATTTAGTGCTGCATCTTACCACAAACCCAAACCACTGTCTCCTCTTCCCTTTGGGGGCCTTCTTGTATTGTTAAATATCCTCTTGCTCCCATGTTCACTGCAGACAAGCCATCAGTTAGATTAGGTGCATAATCAAATCATCACTTCCCTCCGCAGAGCCTTATCTCTGCTCCATGTTGAGCTGAAGGAAAATGTGAGGGAAATGGAAACAGGAGACAGGAGAGAGGGAGGAGAAAGAGAGAGAATGAGTTATCCAACACTGCACCAGAGCTGATTTGGATGATAAATGGGATCTGAGACCAGTCTAACTTTTTCCTTCTCCTGCAGAGGTCATGTGACATGGGCCACTCAGTAATCTCTCCAGTAATATGAACGTTGCTGTTTGTCACAGTTAATGTTATTTTAATATAATATCAATTTGAGAGAGATTGGGAGGAGGGGAAGAAATATATAGAAAGACTGCCTGCAATTATTTATTTACGTATGCATTTATTTATTTATTTATTTATTTTGATGCAGAGTATATACAGTAAGCAACAGATTTTTTTTTTATGTATAAATTGCCTCTATATAAACAAATTTCATTTGGACATTTTTTTAGTAGTCAGTAGCAACATTACTTTATAGAACATTATTTTATAGATATGATCTGCATTTATGTAACTGGCGCTCGTGGAACTTTAAGCATAGTACCATCATTTTAAGTTATTCAGGTTTCTCTCATGTTGTCTTCCTAACAGCACATAAACCAGCCATCCTGGACAAACCGAGGTGACACTGGACGTATTTCCCAGTGTTAACCGGGAGGATAATTAGGCAATCAGAGAGCACTGGAGGCAAGAGCACAAATGTATATGTAGAGCTTTTAGAGGCTAATCAGTGTTTTCAGATCACTCTCGCTCATTCTTACTCACTCTCTGTGATAGAAAAGCTCAAAGTGGTTCTTGATTAGAGCAGATCAAACAGCTCTTGTAATCTGGGGCAGAAGAGAGTGCTTCAATGGACACGCATCTCTCTGCTTCTCGATTAGCAGTTTTATTGATCACTAAACATGTAAAACATCACTCTTTCTCTATAAAGAATGTTTATTTTATTTTCTAAGAGGTTTTAGTATTTTCTAATGACTTTGTGTTGAATGCATGCTATATTTATATGTCTGTAATAATTATGTGTGCCAATGTTCTTTTATAGTGCAGAAGAAAGTAATAAAATCCATAAAATAATGTCTGTCCATCTAAAAGTATTTGAAACTTTGATTTGGCTCATTTGATTAATAACTTCTTTTTTTTTATTTCAGAAACGCCACAATGCTGATAGTGTTGTTAACAAGAAAGAGACACAAGGTAAGACATTTGTTTTTAAAAACCCTATACCTTTGCCTGATTAGAGAAGTTTTCCTCCCTGTTTTGGAGTATTTCCGATTGAAATAAAGTTGAGGTGGGATGTAAATGACTCTTTTAATAGGCAGTAGCTTTAATTTGTCTTACATCCTTGAGTTGTTATTTGCTAGTTAGGCACTACCCTTCTAATGAGAAATTAGATTGGCCAAAAAATTGGACACAGCCATGCAGGATGAGTCAGCATTTAGTAATGAGAAATTTTCATCTTTTTTTTTTCCTGCAAGAAGAAGACCGTCAACTTTAAATGTGTGTGTATATACGTATGCATTTTTATATCATGGGGTCTTGGTCTGTGTTAGGGATCTTTTTTTTTTTTTTTTTATAAATTTCACTTATGTGTGTATATACGTATGCATTTTTATATCATGGGGTCTTGGTCTGTGTTAGGGTTTTTTTTTTTTTTTTTTTTTACATTTCACTTATGGTGATCTTTCTGTCTCTTTTGTAGTATTGAGGAACGGCGCTTGGGAGATTGTACATTGGGAGAAGGTACTGCAGCAGATGGTGTTTCTCATACCAATTGCCTCACTGAGTTCCAGACTGAAAATTAGTTGACATACTCTTAGAAACAGAGTGAGAAATGAGTATGCATATAAAGATGCACGATGGCGTAAACCAGAGCAGGTTTGGTTTGAAAACAGATACTTTGGTGTTTTCTGAAGAGGGTACTTCCCTCTCTGCTCTTTTTCTTTTGTTCATCTTGACCTAAAGAGTTGAGAATCCAGGAGTAGACTCTAACCAGGCCGCAGCTTACGTGTGATGTCCATAGAGATCCTAATGCAGCCAGACATAGAGCAGCTTTTTAATGTGTTAATAGAGAGTCGAGCTAATTACGCTGACAGTAACACACAGTCCATAATTATAAAGTGAAAGCAAAAGGAAATGGCTGGAGATATAATTATCTGAGGATTGGGTATTCATCACTGTTTGCTATATTAGTGCACATCTGCGAGAGTGCATTAACTTGTGCCCTGGTGACCTCACCGTGGCATAGAATAGGATGTGATGTCAACTATGACTGCTTACAGTTGTTTCCTTTTAGTATATTATTTTCTGAAGCTGCAATTCTGCTAAGTGCTGCTAGAATTGACAGTGAAGTACAACATGTTTCTGCTTCAGCTCATTAAATCTAGTTTTATTTTTATTGTCATCTCATCAATATTCAAACAGTTTTGTGGAGCCAGGCTTCTTGTCGCCCTTCCTTTTATTAAGCCACACTGTGACACACTTTGAATTACAGTGCACAGTATAAATAATGAATTTTAATATAGGCCTCCTTATAAATCGTATATCAACTCATGCATATTTAAGTAGCTCTCCACTTTGATTCAAAATAGCAGCTATGAATAGCAGGGTCCCCCACTTCTACTGGATTATGGCTAATAAGATGATTAAAAATGCAAATCTGAAAAAATAAATTGTTTATTTGTGGATTTTACAGAGAATACTTTTGATTAAATGGCCTCATTTTAAATGCTAGTCTCAAGTGAAGGCTTATGTTTGGATCTAAGTACCTCCTGAATGAAACAAGTGAAATGAATATTTCTTATTTCTTTACTCTCGCCAGTGACTGCTAGTTTGCTTTAAAGTTTTTGAATTGATAACTAGTTTGTGTTTTACAGGTTGTGGTTGGAGACATAGTTAAAGTTAATGGCAAAGATTTCGTACCAGCAGATGCTATACTGCTGTCATCCAGGTAGACGAGTCTACGTCATCAGAAAGGAACTTGTCCATGCTTATGCCCCTGTCTCACACTTAACACCCAAAGGAAGTGATGATTAACAGGCTAATAACAAATAACCCTGAGACAAAGCTCCAAATCAGTGCAGTGTCATTACAAATGGTATCAGTTGATGGTTTTAATAATATAAATGTCATATATTATCCACAAAGAATGAGGTGTTAAATGACTAGTTCACCCAAAATTTAAAATTCTGTCATTGTTTACTTGCCTTTTTTTGCTCCAAATCTAAAAGTTATAGGGGTTTATTATGAAATAAGGGGCACAAATGGTAGAGTTTTATTTTAAGCCGAGTTTTTCTTTAATAAAATGAGTGAAAAGTCAAAATCAGCACTTCCTTTAGTGGATGTTTGCTTATTGATTGATACTGACCTGATGAAGTTGTGTCCTCTTCACTGTCAAAATCCAATTGTCAGCCAGGTCTTAAGTTGACCCAAAATTCTGGGGTTTTACAGACATTTACATCAGCCACAGATAACAGTAAAATAAAAGTTTTTTTCCCACTTTACTGGTGGTTTAGCCTGGCCTGGGTGGGTTTTGAGCAGTGGACATTGTTTTTTCCTCTGTGAAGATTAAACGTTTGTGTGTTTGTGTCTCTCTCCCTGTCTTGTTATGTGTGCTCTTCCTCCTCTGCCCATCTTATGTCCTTTCCCTCCTCTCATCTCCACCTTTCTCCCTCCTCTCATCTCCACCTTTCTCCCTCCCCTCCCAACCTCATGTGATGAACAACCTTCTCCCGACTTCACTCGCGTCATTCCCCTTGCGCCGGGGCTGCTGGGTAAATTAAGGTGTCGGTAGGGGAGGTAGTCCGAGCAGCCAATGGAGATCACCTCCCGGCCGACCTCATCATTCTGTCGTCCAGGTCAGGAACAGCTCCGGTTTGCATGCGGGCTAGGTGGGAAGGGGGTGCACAGGTGGAGAGAATCTGCTACCTTTAATATTTCCCTCTCTCCTCCTTTTTTTTTTTTTTTTAGGAACAACTCCGGTTTGCATGCGGGCTGGGTGGGAAGGGGGCAGGGGGTGCACAGGTGGAGAGGTTTTTTCTTGTTTTGGCCTGATGGTGTTTTGTCAGCTTTTAATGCTATTCTTGGTTATGCCATTTTTTTTTAGCAATGATCTGATTGATATTGTTGGGTTCCGCTGGGTGATATCAGTTTTTCCTGTATGCATTCAAAAACGACATTATTATAACATTAAGCAATAAGATTATAACATATAGATGTAAAGACCGTCTGATATATATTTTTTTAGCAGATTTTAGAGTATTTTGGGAATATACTAGTACAATATAAATATATTACCTACATTTACCTACATATGTTTTTACTAAAACATTTTAGTGCAAGAAAAATTTATCTTTTAAAAATGATTCCGTGAAACACAAATTTTGAATAGAGTAATAGAAATTAGTTGAATTTCCCAATTTCTAATATCATTTTGCTATTGAAGTTTAAATCAGTGATGCAGTCAAAACTAAAGGCTCATACTTAAAAATAGTGAGACCTAGATCACAAAACTAATTTTCCAGAAACTTGATGTGTAAATAAAGTGCATTAAAGTTATTATTTTATTCACAGTGGTGTTTTATTTTGTCACCAGCTAGCCTATATGATTCTGAATATACCTTGTTTTATATTCAATATATTTCTCAGCCACACTCTGTTTGATAATTGTGCAATTAAAGAGCCTATTGAGACTCAGTATCAAGACTCTCAACCTCCCATGCATCATTGTTGGACCTTTTGTCATGAGATTCTTAAATTTAAGCACTAAAAATGGGCTGACTAGGCACATATTTCTCAGAGGACGACTCCGTTCAACTCCCAACAGAAAATACTGATGAAGCCCTTTCCATAACCGTAGAGACGTGTATTACAGACCTCTGCTTTGTGCTGAAGATGCTTAAGCATGTGCACACAGGAAAAACAAAGCGCTTCTCTAACACAGCTGGAGAAAAGGACCATTGAGTGACTGTAAATGTCACAGCTGTTGGCACAATGCATGGCTTCAGCAGGAGCTCAGACTCTGATGTGACTCTCTGCATGCGGTCACATCACCACAATGTACAGTATTGTGATGAGCCTTTATAGTAAACCACATTGTCCGTATACTGAATCTATGAAATGTTGTTTTTTTCACTCTAAGATAAACATGATGTTTTGGTGGGGACTTGTTACATTTTTGACAACCACAGAAGAAATGAGTATTGACATCTATTTTTGTTTTATACAGACCCAAAGCAGAGCAAACTTTTCTGATAACTTTTCAATTTAAGTACGAGGACCATCTTTTCTGTTCACGCCTGCTATCGTTTATTAAAGGAGAGATGTGGAACAGCTTTGGCCCTGTGTACTCGCTATCCCGCTTTTGCTCTTCTCAGTATTAACACTGAATGTTCATTTGTCTGGTGTGCTGCATCTTTCCTTTGTTGCATGTGGAGGATGTAACTAAAAATAAAAACAGCAGAATGCATGGCCATAAACAAAGATGCATCGAGTGAAAGTTTCCTAATGGCTGAGTGCAAAATGAAAGATCTGGATCTAAGAGAGTCCCATTAGAGCGATATGTTTTTATTTTCAGTCCAAGTACTAAAATGCCTTATGCAGTTTGGGGAAAATATGCTGCCCAGTAGACTTTCCTTACTGAAATAAATAATATCAATATCATTTTAAAAGAAAACTGTACTAGCTCTGGAAAAAAGGCATCTTTGATTATGGGTCTTCATTTAGCTGTGTGGTTTTGATTGATGTGAACAAAACTTCTTTAGTTATTAATTATATATGAAATAGTTACATATTTTAGCCAATGCCATTTATCTGTTTTACATGATATTTTGATATTTCATTAAAGTAGCTAGGTTGTGCCAATTTCTTTTAAGATACATTATTGTTCAAAAGTTTGGGCTTAGTACCATTTTTTTTATGTTTTTGAAAGTCTCTTGTACTCACAATGGCTGCATTTATTTAATCAAAAATATAGTCCAAATAGTAATATTGATATTGCAACTCAAAATAACTTTTTGACATACATATTAAAATATATAAAATGTAAGTTATTCCCATGATGGCAAAGCTGAATTTTCAGCAGGCATTACTCCAGTCTTCAGTGTCATATGATCTTTCAGAAATCATTCTAATTTACTGCTCAATAAACATGTATTATCACAGTTGAAAACAGTTGTGCTGCTTGATATTTTTGTGAAAACCTTGATATGTTTTTTTTTCAGAATTCTTTGAATAGAGAATAGCATTTATTTGAAATAGAAATCTTTTGTAGTGTTATTAATGCATTTACTGTCACTTTTGATCAATGTAATAAGTCCTTGCTCAATAATTGTTAAAAAAAACCTTACTGACCCCAAACCTTTGAACCGTATAAATTAATATTGTATTTATTATATATGTGACCCTGGACCACAAAACCAGTCTTAAGTCGCTGGGGTATATTTGTAGCAATAGCCAAAAAAACATTGTATGGGTCAAAATTATAGATTTTTCTTTTATGCCAAAAATCATTAGGACATTATGTAAAGATCATGTTCCATAAAGATATTTAGTAAATTTCCTACTGTAAATATAACAAAACTTAATTTTTGATTAGTAATATGCATTGCTAAGAACTTCATTTGGACAACTTTAAAGATGAATATTTTGATTTTTTTTGCACCCTCAGATTCCAGATTTTCAAATAGTTGTATCTCGGCCAAATATTGTTCTATCCTAACAAACCATACATCAATGGAAAGCTTATTTATTCAGATTTGAGATGGTGTATAAATCTCAATTTAAAAAAATTGACCCTTATGACTGGTTTTGTGGTCCAGGGTAACATATTTCAGTAAACTGCAAAGTACTCTACTGGTGGTGCCATATATCTTCATGATGTATTAAAAATTTATATTTTTTTCATAATGGTGCTGTTTATTGTAGTGAACCTCAAGGAATGTGCTACATTGAGACCTCAAATCTAGATGGAGAAACTAATCTCAAGATCAGACAGGTGATTTTTGCCCCCCCCCATATCATACCTACTGTTATTAATTAATACTGTACAATTCAGCTAATTGTTTACTGGTGTGAATTGTATTACTTAGTGTTTTTTGTTATACTCAGGGTCTGCAGATCACTACGGACATCAAGGACATTGACAGTCTAATGCGTCTCTCTGGACGGATGGAATGTGAGAGTCCCAACAGACACCTGTATGAGTTTGTGGGCAATATTCGACTGGATGGACACAGGTATGAGAAAATCGACAGACAGAGTGTGAGTGATAAAGGTAAAATTTGGATTGAGGTGAATGAAAGAAAAACAGAAGCAATGACAGAAATGTTCAGACTGACTTCAGCCTTGTATTTCATTAGTCTGAGATACTGATGAGCGTGAGACAAGTTAATTTCAGCAGGAAGGGTTCGATCGAAGTTGAAGAATGAAAATGTCTCACTGATAATTGAAGGCAGGTTTAATTGCGTATTGATATTTAGGAAGGAACAAATCTATACATTATAAAATACCTAATGTGTTGTGTTTTCACTAAACTTCCCTCTGTGCATTTATTTATATCTAACATCACATTCTCCTGCTGTTATGCTGTATTTTTTTGGGTTGGATTTATTTTTTTAAATGTTCATCAATTATTGGGTTTGCTCCATATTTAGCACCGTACCACTCGGTCCTGATCAGATCTTGCTGAGAGGAGCACAACTCAGGAACACACAGTGGGTCCACGGTATCGTGGTCTACACAGGACACGACACCAAACTCATGCAGGTAATCTGTTTGCTTCGGTCTACTTCAGTCGTATCCCAAATCCAGCTTCAATCTGAGAAATCTGAGTTTTGTGTCTCCAGAACTCCACGTCCCCCCCTCTGAAGCTTTCCAACGTGGAGCGCATCACCAACTTTCAGATCCTCTTGCTTTTTGGCTGTCTCTTGGCCATTTCGTTGGTGTGCTCCATAGGCCAGACCATCTGGAAGTACCAGTACGGCAATGACGCCTGGTATATGGACCTCAACTGTAAGAACCAGACCCCCTTTCCTTCTGTCATGCTAGACCGCTTGCGTGTCTGTGTGCTTTCATTTTTTTTGTTATCGTCAGTAATTTTCGTCTTCCCTCTATGTAAACAAATATGCATTGCATATGTGAATATTTGTCAATAAAAAGGGAAAGGAGAACTTTTCCCTTTTAGTTCTAATATGCATAGACACATGAATGTATAAATGGTTGAATATCACGAACGCTGCTGTACTTCTTTTTTTTTTTTTCGTTCGTTTTGTTATCAGCTTCCTTTCTAACATTCTGTTTGGTTTGTGTTTTTTGTTTCTTTGTTGTTGTCATTTTCTTAACAGCTCCAGGTAACAACCATTTAAAACCCTTGGCCATCTGTGAATGACCCCTCCTTACTAACCCCTAACTGAAGCTCGGCTTTTGCTAAGCTACCGAAGCCACTTATATGGTTGCCTTACTTTGTGAGGGTAATTGCAGAGGACCGCACACATACCAGGAATCCAATGATAGGTTTTTCCCTTCCAGCTCTACACTGTGTAGACCCTCTTAATGCCTGATGTCAAAAACGTGCCTTCCCTTTCTTTATTTTGGTGACACGTTAAACACTTCGTAAGCTCCGGCTTCGGCTGCGCCAGCGTCCTTCGCTCGTGCCTAACAAATGAGCCACAACAGTAAGCCTCGGACCCAAAGAAACACACGTGGAGAGGAGCGAGTTACCCACGGGCGCTGTCAGAGCAAGAGTTAGAAACGTGTTCCCGTGCAGAAGCAGAAGACCCTGGAGGTCAAACCGTGACATTTTCTAAATGCCCCCCTTTTCCTCTTACCCACCTCCTCGTTCAGCTGTGTTTGTTATACCGGTGCTGACAGACGAGACCGAACAGGCCCAGCTCTGGAGAAGATGAGCAAATCCATGCTAATAGGCTTAATGTTTGGGTTGTAAAAGTACGATATTAAGAAATACAACACTGCCTTTAATTTTTAATGAGCAGTGATGGGAACACATCTGTTGCATGCCTTGAGCATGAAAAAAAAAAAGAAAAAAATTAACAATTTTGTGCACCAACAAGAGGCGAAAATGTGTTAAATTGTTGGCAGGAGACGCTTGCAAATTAATTAACGTGTCACCACCATCATTACTCTTGATTTAAATAGGAGGTGCTGTTTGTGTCCGAATCGATCGCAGCTTGTTTTATGGCCTACACAGTTCCCTTCTTGGTATGCTCTTGAGAGTTCATCAAAAATGTCGTCAAATGCTGAGATGCACCACCATGAATGTTGGGTTCCATCTGTAATCATTCACATCCAGCGCAGTCATTTGGAAAGGAAATAACAATGATGTTGGGTGCCATGTGAGGGAACAGTGAGGTCATAAAGCAGGTATCCATCATGAAATTGATTATTCCTCTAAAGGAGGGAGACTCTGTCTCGTGTTTGTTGTTTGCCCTCCTAGTGGAGCTGTAAAAGGGAGATGTGGCATTGATTTGTCGTTTACATGCTTTTGCAGATTATACTTACTTTATAAACCAAGGCCACTTCCTGCTTTTTTAGTCAGTGGTATAATCATATAATCAAGGATTCATGATAAAACGATTAGGGTTAATAATACCTGGAGGGAGCTAGTACACTACCATTCAGATTTGTGTTATTTTTTAAATAAATTAATACTTGCATTTAGCAAGGATGCATTGAATGTAAAGAGACTTGTAATGTCACAAAAGACTTCTATTTCAAATAAACAAGCAAAAAAAATACTGAAAAAACGGATCACGTTTCCACAGAAATATTGCGCAGAAAACTGTTTATAAATACAATTTTAAAACATTAAAATTGAAAACTGTTATTTTGAATTGTAATAATGTGGCACAATATTACTGATTTTATTTATGTACGTATGTATTTATGTATGTATGTAATTATTTTATTTACCAAATAAATCCAGCTTTGATGAGCATAAGAGACTTCTTTCAAAAACTCTTAATGCCCCCAAATTTTTTAATGGTATTGTAACCGTTTAGCATTTCTATTAATTGAAATAGCAGTTGCACAAGAACAGAATTTGAAAACTTTAATTAGTCAGAATACAGACTTCATCTGAATAGCTGTCAATGGAGAAAAATGTTTTATGCAACCAGATGGTGTAGTTATGACATCTGCAAGCTAACTGGGTCACGCTAACCAGCCAACTCTTGACCTCTTGGGCATGATTGGATCTATTTGGTTTTGTGCTGCTGGATGTCAGATTATGATTCATCCCCAGAGGTAAAAACAATGCAATAGCTGTGCTTGAAGATTGGGTTAGCAGGCGTACACTGAGGGCGACGAATACACACCTTCCACTCATTAGTCTGAGCGTTGCACACTACAGGCAGATGAGTAATTATTCTTCATCAAATAATTCATTTGACTTTGAACCCCTGTGATATTTTACTCTGCTTCTGCCCAGTATATATCCAAACCAATGCATGTGCCTCTATGCAGATGGGCCTCCAGAGCACTTGAGCAGCAGTCATTTGTTATGCATTCACGCCACCTGCAACAACAGTCACCTATGTTGAACTCCTGACCATGAAATAACAGGTAGCAGGTTTTGTGCTGCACAAATGCTTGACGGGTGTCTTGAGAAGTGCTGACCCCGCAGCGCGACTCCTTGCTGCACTGATGTCAGTGGACCTGCAGTAGCTAGCTAAGAGAGATGGTGCTGCATCTTCCTGCATGCTTCAGAATGTCGTGTGAGCATGTGCAGCGGTGAAGGTTAGCGATTAGAGATGCATTTGTTTACTGTAGCCTGTTGAATGCAGAGAAGTTGTCATCTTTATTGCCAACTTGGTGTTTGTTGGGTGTAGTTTTTTAACTAGACTATTCAGTAGTCAGGAAATACGTTTTGAGTAGTTTCCGATGCAGCCAAAAATCTTCCACCAGGAAAGATCTTCTTCAGCTGACATGCAAGAGATAGTCAAGCTTTGTTCAGTGTTACTTGTACCATGTTTCGGATCTTCCAAATGATTAAAATATCTCTAAATGTCACATCTCTCTGTTCGGCTCCATATGATTGGAAGGTACTTTAGACTGGTCTTCCTCCTTTACACTGAAACATCCAAACTGATTGTCTTCCTTCCCACCACTAGCCAAATCCTCTTCCTCTCTCCGTGAGTCAGTTCCAATAGCAGTTGTATGATTGCCCAGCCTCTCTAGTTCTATGACTGTATGAGAAAAGCGCTCCCTCTCCTTACTGCTCAGAAAGAGAATTTGCATTCTGTGGATCCCCAGGTAAAGCTTTTTATTCATGCTTAAAGTCAACATGAAGTCAAAAAGAACCCATTTACTTTCTTAAAAAACACTCTGTCTCGTTATGGACATTTCATCAGTGTTTAATGTTAACAAATATGGGTAAAATAAAATGTTATGACACATATGACACCAGAATTAGAATTGTATTTTTGTTTAAGGCTAGTGTAATGTTGTTTTTTTAGATCTTGCTAATAGTTAATGTAGTTTAATGTATTTCTCTCTTTGAATATCCTTTTAAACATGGTCATATGTCAAAGTAAAATGGGTTGTGAATATTGTTTCATGTTGATTTTAACACTATGTGTGAGCTGTCTTGTGTCTGTGGCCTTATTTTTATTGATTACATTTTTGTTTCTCTTTGTGCTGCTCTCTTTGTTAAATTTGGTGTTTGATTTAAGATTGAAAATCATGATTACCCACCCCCAGTGCATTGTGGGATAATGTGTTGCTTTGAATCTTGCCCATATTGCCAAGGCTGCCGCTATGATGTCAAAGAATCGAGTTTAGCTACTAATTAATGGAGACCTGATTGGAGAATTGAATGAATTTGTAGGTTAGAGGCTTACTGGAGAGATTGGGTGGAAGAGTTGTATAGTGTTTGCACAACGCTCACACAACGCTAGTGGAGCATTGTGGAAACGTTGCAAATTAGACCAGATGAGCTTGTGGCATAATTGTCCTTCCATCATTTCTCCTCAGTCCACCACATCCCATCTTACCTTTCATAGCTCAGAAACATTCTGTCAGCTTACTACCTCTCTCTCCTCTTCCTCCCCTCGCTCTTCTTTTTCCAGATGGTGGAGCGGCCAACTTCGGCCTGAACTTCCTCACCTTCATCATCCTCTTCAACAACCTGATTCCCATCAGTCTTCTGGTGACTCTAGAGGTCATCAAGTTCGTCCAGGCTTTCTTCATCAACTGGGTGAGTGTGAGGCTGAGCTGCGGGAGCTCTGTCTGTGTGATAAATCTGCTGTCTTTGAAATGCAGACTGCCTAAACCTCCAGGGCCAATCCCAGAAAACTTCACCGCCCAAACGAAAGTGGAGCTTTATCAAAATAATCCATCTGAAGATGCCAAAATTGGATTTGGGGCAAGGTGCTTATAGCAAACAGACACCGCTTTTAGATGCAGTGGAGTTTTGTGAATTCCCATAGAGTCAAGACTTTTGAGCGGTTGTTTCATTCCTTTTGTTTTGATTGACAGAGTATGAAAAAGAGCGGTATATGTTTTGGAGTCCAGATGGCAAGGTATTAATAGAAAATGGTTGTGATTATTAATTCTGCCTGGTGATTTTAGGACACTGACATGCTGTATGAAGTCACCAACACACCAGCTATGGCCCGGACATCAAACCTGAATGAGGAGTTGGGACAGGTACTGCTTGCCCTCACGTTCAGAAATAAACTAATTTATGAACAAAAAAATGAAAAAATTAAAACAATTGCATTTTATTTATATTTGCAAAAACTAATTTCATGCAATTATTACGGTGGCCGAGAAGTGCAAAGCAGATCACAATTCTGAAAACAAAATAACAAATTACAAACGCAAATGCAAGTCTAAAAACAAAATAACAATTCAGAAAGCACAACAACAATTCAGAAAACATTATAACAAGTCAGAAAACACAATGACAAATTCGAAAACAAAATAACAAGTCAGAAAACACAACGACAAATCCGAAAACAAATTTACAAGTCAGAAAACACAACGACAAATCAGACAAACCGGAAGAGGTAGGTATAGTTTGAGACAGCGCCATTGGTTTGGGATTACTCACCGCTGACTGGACGAGACATCTGTCAATCAACGTATACAGGAAGAACCAGCCGAAGAAGAACAGCAGTCGTGGTAGAAAGTTCGGAGATGGTATTAAAGTAGCTCAGTTTAAGTGTGTTGTATGAATTGCCCTTACTATGGAATAAAAAATACGGGGTGTATATTTACATTTAGTTAAAAGTGGCTGTAAATCATTAGCTTCAGTGGCGCAGATGGATAAGCGCGTTCCCTTGGCTTTTTGACGCGATCGACTCGGGTTCGATCCCGCCTTTTGCCGAACTTTTTTTTCCTCCCTTTTCAAATCGTTTTCAGAATTGTGATTTGCTTTGCACTTCTCGGCCACCGTAAATTATGCATAATATATACTACTCTTCAGCTGAAATTAATACTTTTACAGCAATGTTTCTTGAACACCAAATCAGCATATTAGAATGATTTCTGAAGGATTATGTGAGGCTAAAGCCTGGAGAAATTGCTGCTTTAAAAATTACATTTAAAAATGTGTTCAAATAGAAAACAGTTATTTTTTATTGTAATATTTTGCAATATTGCTATTTTTGTGTTTTTCGTGTTTTGTAGACTTGATAAAAAATGGGGAAAAAATCTTATTGACCACAAATGTTTGAACCATAGTGTATTGATTCCATATTGATTATTGACAATAATTTAAAATTTTATCAATATTGTTTGGCAATATTGGATAGTTAATTGTTCTTTTTTAATTTCCCCTGTTTTTATCTTGTTGATCACCTTTGCTATCATGTAATGCTCATTTTAAATTCATCTTTGAAAACACATTAAATAACATTAAATGTAATCTGTAGCAGATCACAAAATGTGTAGTTTTTTTTTTTTTTGTAGATTTATTTAGGCGAAATTATATAGAATTTTAATATTAGCCATTCATCAGCTGTCGGCTATCGGCCATAACACAATTTATGAGTTTAGCTGTAATGCTTAGAATTTTATTAGGGAATACAGCCTAATGCCAGTTAATACAATAAAGACCCACTTTTCACAATCTAGTTTATTCCTGATGCGTTAAATCAAGTACCTCCTTGCGTTTTTTCTGTAGAATATTCTGTTTTATGCAGAATAAGTTGCATTACGGAAGTAAAATGGGTTGAAAATATTTACTTTAAGTGTAACTACTTAACTATAGTTTATTGATCTCTCTTTCCTGAAACCAGGTGAAGTACATCTTTTCGGACAAGACAGGCACCCTGACCTGCAACGTCATGCAGTTTAAGAAGTGCACAATTGCAGGCGTGGCCTACGGGTAAGGCTCTGTTTCACATGGCTTTCATAATCAGTAGAGTGTACATCTGGCTCTAGCTGTCTTGTCCTCCGCTCCCTTGTTAGCAGCTGCCTCGATTCTTCTCTGCACAGCCAGAGCGATTCTATAAATATCAGAGAAGGGGACTCGCAGATTTTCTTCCTCTTTTTTTTACATGCTTAGGAACACTGCATTTCTGGTTGCCTATTTGTCTAACTTGGGATTTTTATGGAGCATGAATATATAAATGTTTGTTCTAAAACTAGATAGAACATTTTATTAGACACCGTTGTATTCATAAGCCTAAAGTGTATATATATGTGTGTGTTCTAAAACTAGATATAGAACATTTTGTTAGACACAGCTGTATTTATAAGCTTAAAGTGTTGTGAATGGTGAAATTTCCTCTGTGCTGCAGCTGATACCATTCAAGTGTGTTTTTGAAGAAATGTTCATCAGCGTGCTCAGCATGTGGCAGAGCTCTCTTCCATATCTGTGTTTTCCCTTCTCACTGGATAGATTTTATGACCGCAGTGATGTTTATGGTAAGCAGTCTACGAAAGATGAGGCGTATTTGACGAGGTCACGTCGAGGCCATGGCTCTGAGCTTATTGGATGTTTACATGCACAAGGACTTCAGATCTTATCACAGACATGCCAACCGTCACAAAATACAGCCTTATGTTCACATTCAAGTTTAATGGTGCCTCTTTATGTTCTGCATTCAAAGAATAAAGCTATGGCGGCAATATCAGTGCTGGATCTAAATGATCTCTTCTCCAGCATTAGGAGCAACATTAATCCTATTAGCTCAATTAAAACTCTTCTGAGATGAGGAGATTCAAGAGGCACTTCCTCTGTGACACTTAAAGGAAGACACTCACTGGAAATGTTAAAGTTCTTATGTTAAACAAGATTTGCATTTCTAATGCTAGTGCTTCCAAGGCAGCAAAATAATAGCGTTAAAGTTTGGTTAGTCACTTGTTTTTTTCAAGAGGGTCTAGCTGCAGCCTTGCACTTGCACTCTCAGACTTGCATTCTCAGACTTGCACTCTCAGACACTGACGTTGCAGGTATCGGAGAGTGCAAGTGGCGATTGCAAGTGACATTGTAATTTAGTTTCTTTTTTCTTGTCTTCACCACCTGGCTACTGTTGTAAAATGTTGAGAGATTCAAACAAAAAGTAATACAAAATAGAACAAAATAAAAAATAAAGCCTGCAAGTGACGTCGCTAGCAGAAGCGCAAGTGTCTGAGAATGCAAGTCTTAGAGTGCAAGTGCGAGGCTGCAGCCAGACCCTTCTCGTTTTTTTAGGGGGTGGCTGTGTTGATGTTCTTTTTCCTTTATTAGTAATAAGTCATTTGCTGTGTGAATTCACAGGTTAGACTTCGCCGAACATGACCTTTGGTACTGAGTAAAACACAAGACGAACTATTATACTTTATAATTTATACACTGCCATTCATCATATATCACTACTATTCAAAATTTTGGGGCCGTAAGATATTTAAAAAATTGTTTTGAAAGAAGTCTTATGCGCACCGAGCCTGCATTTTTTTAAATAAAAAAATACAGTAAAAACTGTAGTATTATGAAATAATATTAGTTTAAAATAACTGTTTTCTATTTAAATGTTTAAAAATGTAATTTATTCCTGTGATGATAAAGCTGGATTTTCAGCAGGCAATGATCCTTCACACATGATCCTTCAGAAGTCATTCTAATATTGCTGTCACTTTTGATCAATTTGATGTGTCCTCGCTGAAAAAAAAAAGATTGAAAAAAATGGAATGGTAGCGTACAAATTAAGTATTGATGAAATCTGTAAAATTGATGAAGTTTGGACTGAATTAAGAAAATAAGGATAGGGATGAAGGTCAGAGTTTTTTTGTTTTTTTTTGGTGACATTTATTCCAGACCCTCTGTGTTCCACCACAGAGAACCAGCAAATCAAAGCAAGATCATATGAAGCTCTTACATTTTTACTCCCTAATCCTACAGCCTTGACCTTTACACCAGCTAAATTACAAAGCTGACGCTTTCTGAGTAGGGTTGCCAAGTCCGTAGATTTACAGTAGAATTGGGCTACTTTTACACTGTTGCTGCAGGTTGGTTTTTAGTCTGCGGGTTAAAGCAATCTGTCCCTCACCCACCCGGAACATGATTTCGACAGAGCGGACCTGCAGAAAAAACATGATTGAGCTAGTTTTGAATAGCAGTAGGGCTGTTTTTTTTTTTTTCCTCAAACCTGGCAACCCTGCTTCTGAGCCAGCATCATGCCAGCTCAGTTCAGTTCCTCAAGACTTTTCTTTCTGTCTGTGTAGAGGAGGAATCCCTCTGCTTATCATTTGGTGAAGTCAGCGCGGTACCCGTTTAATCACTCCTCTCACAAGTATGTCCATGGCCCTTTGACGCTTGCAAACTGGCCTGTATTTCAGAAGCAAGTCCTTGTCCTCCACCTCATGAATATGGATGCCATCTTTTATCAGCTTCAAATAAACTTGGTCCTGTTTGATGATGCATCTCTCCTCCTCTCCTCTTTCTGGGAGTCGGAGCGAGTACAGCCACCGCACCAAGTCATTGATGTTTTTGAAGCATGACATCTTTTCTTACAGTGAGTGGGGAAACTTGGTGCAAACCCAAAGGAAGAGTTTGATGTTAAATATAGCCTAGATTTTTGACTTGACATGTTTGTTGGACTGGAAAAACCAACATGCTGCTAGTGTAGAATGCTGGAGTCCTGGTGTTAATGCTGAGACGAACTGACGTCTTTCCACTAGACCTTGTCTTTTATGTCTTTCTTTTCTGTTACGTCTGAGTTGAATTTCTTGAAGTTCTTCGATTTTATTTCCACATGTCTTAATTTTAAGTTCTCTTCACTGACCCAAAAGAAAACTCAAGGCATCTCCTGAATCTACAGCAACTACTGAAGACTCCAGCACATCTTTTTTTGTCTTTATTGTTCATTTATACTTTTCAAACCTTCAAATCTTGTCAACTCTTGTAGGTTATTAGGACTTATTTTAGTATCTTTTATATGTTATTATAGTAATTAATATTTTGAATTGGCTTTCATT